GACAAAGCCCACACGGAGATGTAATGATGATTAGAATGACAAGCAATTACCAATACTTGGATGACAAACATCTTTTGCTGATAGATAGCTACAACCTCCTGAAAATGACGACATGTGCTTTGATGGTGACCTGATGGTGATGAAAAACGACTAATCACACCCTTTTTTCAAGTGATGATAACAAATAATATCCTTATGATGACGACTAACTTCATGATGATGCTAGCAAACCTTGATGATGATGATGACGAACATCATCTTGATAACGAACAACACCCCTGATAGCCGTGATTGTACTTGATAACACGTCCAAGTTGTGCCCCTGAAGACGGACAACACCCTAATGTCGAGCAATACCCCTGATAGGAAGCAGTGGGGTGATGTTGAATCGCGACCTGGTAGTGATGGTGATGGCAAGGATGATGGCGAGCAGTACCCCGATGGCAGACCGTTACTGTAATCACTTACACTTCAGGGTACCTAGGGCTAACTCCACTGTGCTCCACAAACATCGACATAACCAACGCCTCTCAGGCCAAATGCCACGCGCAGCAACGAAGCGGCAGTGGAGTAAAACGTGGAACTCCTAGAAACTGAACGTCACCGAGAGTCAGACCATCTGCCACATCAGCTTGTGACATGGTGTGGTCAAGCGCCTGCGGTCTCCTGCGCGTGCGCTAAGCGCCAGGGCTTAAAAAAGAAGGGCCACCATCGCCGCCGCGTGCCGTCTCCATGAGTACGTAGCGTCGGGCGGGGCGCAGCGCTCCTTCCTTTTTTTTTTTACTACACTATTCTTTTTCACTGCCTTTCCTACCACTACTCCTAAGACTATATAGATGGAACCCCTGCAAGCATAGGGCCTCACAACAAGGGTAATTCATGTTGCCCCCCGCCCCAACAGCGGTAGTCAGAGATGGGGTGGGGCCACCGGTGGGGGTCCGGCTAACGCAAAGACTGAGTATTTTGCCAGTAGCTGCGCCTCCCTTTCTCATCCTCCCCCACCCCTCATCGAGTAGCAGCAGAGGCTATGGCCAACACTCTCCCACATACCACACACAACCCACTCACGGTCGCACTCACACCCGTTTTGGTCGTAGACCCCGCTAATACCCATCAGGGGTATCCAGAGGACTATCACAGTCCGTTGGCACCTAAGTGCGCCGCAGGCCGTCATGGGGCTTGACCCCCCCCCCATCCTCCTGAATGCCACTTGCGTGCCTAACCCACTGATGAGTTAGGCCGCTGGATATAGTATTCCCAAACAAACATTTCGTTCATCGGGATTCGAACTCGCGCATTTCAACAGGTTATGGGTGTACGAACTGAGCTAAGCTCGTTGGTCACTGCGTCATTTTCCATGCCAGACACCTTCCAGACAGACCATGCACTTCGGCGCGCCCATTTCCGCGCAGCGCGGAATCTTGTCGGCGCTGTTCGGAAAGGAATAGGCAGGCGGAACCTGCGTGCGAACGGGCGTGCGGAAGTGCTCTCTCTGTCTCTCTCTGTCTCTCTCTCTCTCTCTCTCTCTCCCCAGTCTTGTGCATGAAGACGTGTAGAATTCCATTCACGCTCGGCCAACAAGAAAATAGGTGAGCTCGCGCGGCGTGGCGAAGTGCACCCTCCCTCCCTTCCGCCGGCCTCCCCTCTCTCTCTCTCTCTCTCTCTCTCTCTCTTTCTCTCACGCGCGCGCGCGCGCGCGCGCTCACCCCCCCACCCCCTCCCTCCCTCAGTCTCCCTCTATTTCAGCGTGTTGTCCCTGAAGAGGTGGAGAGTCCAGTTCACACTCGGCCCCCAAACCCAAATACGCGGGCACGCCCGGCGCAGCGAAGTGCACCCTCTCTCTCTCTCTCTCTCTCTCTCTCTCTCTCTCTCTCTCTCTCTCTCTCTCTCTCTCTCTCTCTCTCTCTCTCCATCTATCCGGCCTTTCGTTTATGGCTGCATCTCCATTTTTGTTGGGGTGCTAGGTGCTATGTATCAAGCCGGATAGGATTTGTGCACGGCCGCTATCGGAAGGAGTAGGCGGGGATCATGTCCGCAAATGCGGAGAAGCAGGTGGAGCAGGAACACTACGGTAAGAGGGGGGGGGGGAGGTCAGGTGCCTGATCAGGCTGGGAGGAGAAGGTGGCCATCGAATCGTGAGGGGCTGGAGTAGCAAGAGAAGGACGAAGCGGGGGGGTAAGGATGCGTGATGAGGAGGATGAGAGGCTCGGGATCTGGTCGGTCAGGATGGGGATCCGGCGATACAGAGGAAGCAGAAGCAGAGTCACAGGGATAGGGTGAAAGCTTGCAAGGAAAGTTTCCCGGGGTCAAGCAGGTTGTGGAGGGGGGGGAAGGACGTTGAGGGGGGCCCTAAAGTAAATGGGAGGGGGATGCACGTCGGTGACCCTATTTGTGAAGAAAGGGCCGGGCAGCGCGAATTGGTTGGGTTTGAGGCGGGGGGGGGGGGGGGGGGGGGGGGGGGGGGGGGGGGGGGGGGGGGGGGGGGGGGGGGGGGGGGGGGGGGGGGGGGGGGGGGGGTGTGAGAATTTTATTATTTTTTCTTTTTAAAAGGATAATTCCTTAAGCCCAATCAATTCAATTAACTATCGAATCAGGACAAGACAACCTTTCATACTTTTTTTAATTGTCATTATAGTATTACGAGGAACCCCGTAGCAGCGACATTCGTGTTCAAGCCTCCAACTAGTAGGGAACATGCGGGACCAACACTGAGGTCGGGAATCCTCACAAACAACTCGGTACGACTCAAGAATGGACTACTAGGCGAACCCAGCAAATGTTTAGTGAGCAATAAGCTCAACAACTCATCAAAAGAAACACACTAAAACCAACACTCCCTCATGCAATTCTTTATAGTCAGGTTTTTCTTTTTACCAACAATAAACATACCAAAAACCGTTACCCCTCAACATGCATACCAACATGGGGCGTTGCCCGTCAGCTCAAGTGCCCAACTCCTACTCCCCACCTATAGCTCCCGTAAAGGAAAATGAGAGAGTCAACCCCACCCCAACAAGCAATTGGATCCTACTACCATGAGCCTAATCCTAATCTAACTTGCTACTCCCATTAGACCGCCTATGCGACGGTTGGAACCTATCTCGGTTCCACCTACTCCTCCAACCCCGCTTTTCTTCTGCCTCCTATTGTGGATAAGAACCGAGTGCCCTGGTACATCTAGCTCGCTTACCACTCTGAGTATGGTAAGCCCCTCTGCCCCCCCCATTGTAACCACCTTCCCCACTGAGCCCATGTGTCTAGGAACCATATGATTCTATTTCCCCTTCCCCTACCCCGTGGCACGTTTGGTCTCTTATCAACTGCAATCAAGGTCGCCTTCATCTCGGGGTTGGCCATAATTTTCCCTTCAAACTGTGCCCAATTCCTTTCCGTTCAAATCACCCAGAAGTCCACTGATTCGAGTCGGTTGGTCTGAGCTACATAACCCCAGCCTCTGTACAGGTGCAACTTGTTTGGAGCCCCTCCGCGTAGCACCCAATTCATGTCCCACTCCAACCATCTTGTCCAATCTTCCTACTGGTTTATCCAACAAGTCCAAATTCGCCTGGAGTCCAGACAATCCCACCATAGGCGGACTGTCGACTAAACGCGCCGACTCTGGGCATTGCCACACCATGCTCGAAATGTGCAAAATGAGAATGACCTTCATGCTAGAACATGGTCAGATGCACCCGCCACATTTTTTTATAGTGGTATGGCATGTCCTCTCTCTCCCTCACCCTCTCTC